CTTCAGAAAATGTTCATCTGACCATGGTTACATGATTGGTCAAAATTAGTTAAGTTATGAAAGCCAGACAGTTTTTTTTTCCATTGCCATTTATTTTTACAAGAATAAGCCCATATATCAACATAGAAAAGTTAACGTTCTGTTTTGCACATGGATAAAGCTACTTTATATAAAGAAAGGGAAATAAATGCAGACTTTGTCAAACCTCTTCTTTTAAGTCTTACCAAAGTATAAATATTTACTTTTTTACTGCACTTTAATGGGATATCATAATAGTTCTTTCCAATTTGGCCAGCAAATGCAACATATGGGATTTGGAAAGAGGTGAGTGGGTTAAGTGGTTACAACATGGACATTTTACAAGTGTAAAATATTAGCTACAATGTATAGCTTACAGATAATAGGATACTTTGGTAAAGTAAAGGGTCTATATTTTCTTCATGGCTAACTGACTATTTAATCTTTCCTAGTCAATGGCTGAGAATTTCTGGTGATATCAGTTGCATAAGCTAATTGTGTGATTTTTTTGCCATTGAATGGGTGGGTCTTATACTTTTCCTTTTTTCTTGGTCTCTTAAGAGGATCTCTGTTCATGACAGAGGTTCATGGACAGTTAATCAAGAGTTAAATTTTGGTTTTATATAAATAATTTAGATAGAATACATATCCACTAACAGAAATACTTCAAAGGGATGGTAGAGTTCCCATTACTTTTACCTGACTAAAAAGGTGTGTCAATAAAATCCCTAATTATATTGAGTGGACATGAACAAAATCTGAACGCATCAAGTATACTTGCATCCACTTCTAAAGAGCTGTTTGAATGTCTAAGTGCTACTTTTCCAGTAAGTGGATCTTTGCCTCTGTACCAAAGAACACATTACTGCTGAAACAAAGAGCAAATTACTTCCACACACTGGATGTAAATAAATGTATCCAACCCTACTCAGCTAATGAAATCAATATCTAGACAGTAAGAATTCTATATTATTCAGTAGTGTGGTTATTTCACAACTGGAAGTATCTTCATGAACTCACTTGTCCAGACTTTAACTCATAAAATATTGTGCAAACCACTATTGAGATGTGGAATAAAAAGAATAGCATGTACTAACAAAATTCTAGGAAATTGTTTCCAGGATTATGTATTGTATCGAGCAATGGTGGGATTCAATTTTTTTACTACTGGTTCTATGGGTATGGCTTGGTGGGCATGGCGTAGCTTGGTGGGCATGGCTTAATGGGCATGGCAGGGAAGGATACTGTAATATCTCCATTCCCACCCCTCTCCAGGGGAAGGATACTGTAAAATTTCCATTCCCTCCACACCCCACTAACCTGCTTTCCAGCTCTGGTCTCCTGTGCAGGGCAACAAAAGAAGACCCAGCCAATCAGCTGGGACTCAGGAGGCAGAGAATAGATGGGGACAGGGACAGTCAGAGGTGGAATTTGCCGGTTCTCCAAACTACTGAAAATGTCCACTAGTGGTTCTCCAGAACTGGTCAAAACCTGCTGAATACCACCTCTGGTATTGAGAGAGATGCTTCTATTTGTTACATTTGTTACTATCAGCAAAGATTTTCAGCAAAGACAAAATTGAGATAATGTTTATGAAACCACACACGCATTTCCAGACTATTGTGGAATTGATATTGCAATGTTTGGACTAGTTTTTCAATAGATTGCCACTGGGAGGAGGAATTTGTGAAAATTTGCAATATATCTTAACTTTTAACAGTAGAATTCTTAGTCAAGCCATACTGATGATATTCATGGGAATTTTTTTTTAAATAATCCCTTTAGTCATCCATTTACTGCTTTCTTTATTTTAAACTTTTATGTTACAAAAATAAAAGATGAGTGAAGGTTTGAAGGTCCTGAGATTTGTAGCTCAGTATCAAAATATTTCAAGCATAGCTATGAGGTTACAATTAGTAATGGCATTTGAAAGAGAAACACATCCTTTTCCTACCAATTAGGCTTTCAATTTTATTTCAGCAATCTTGAAATGAAAGTTATACATGCTAACATTTGCAGAGACTTTGAACTTTCTTTACATGTATTCTGTTTTAAGGATGGCCCTGAAATTTGGCTTTGCATGCAAACACTGTAAAATTAGAACATTTTCCTCCCTCCTCTTTCCCCAATAAAGAAGAATGGAGCCCAATAATTAGGGCATTTTTTTCTTTTTCTTTTGTGTTCTAACAGAACTTTAGTCAAACATTAAGTATGCATTTTGAACATATGACAGACCCTTTACTGTTTCTCAAACAGAGCTGTTTAAAGAAAGGAATGACTTAGGTGGAATGTTTCTCAAGCCATTAATGGCTTTTTTTCATCTGTTTTCTGTTTTCATCTGTTTTCCCCCCAAACCAATTCTGTCATTTCCTTCTGAATAATATAACAAAGCACTATAAGAAAATCTTTAAGTAGCACGAATATCAAATAGTATCTATTAAACCCTGAATCATGCTATTCAAACTGCTTCAATCTACATTAAAAACAGAGGACAAAAGTGTTCCTTGTGAGGAAAAAAAATCAAATAATATCATCCGTCTAGAATCTGCAGTGTGACTGTTGTCAGATTGCAATGCTTTACATTACTTCACAAATCAAATGTAAGATTAAACATTTTAAAGGAAAAGCTGTTGCATTTTTTGTTAGCTATTTGGAGTTCTCAGATTTGGAATCTTATCAAAAGTGATTAATTACACTAGTGCCTCACAGATGTCTATAACCAGTAATAACTATTTTAGATTTTCAAAGAATGAACTTTTAAATAATGTGAATTTTCAAATCCTACTTGATAGCATTATGTGCTTAGTGTGATTTTATTTCCACATTTTTCTTTTTGTGTGTTGAAGAAAAATAGCAAACTATTAGAAATGAATATTGTTAGCTAAATTATGTCAAAATACATCCTATAATCCTAATTCAGCTTTCAAGTGATTTCTTGACTACCTATACAATAATACGAGTGATTTTTCATGTACCGATGGAAGCCAAACATCTAGATTTTAGGTTAAAATTAATTGATAACATCTTAATTGACCCCAAATATAAGCCTTTTTTATGATGGCAGCCAAAATAAACACACAATACATCCGTTATATTGGCTATATCTTATTAACTATGTAAAAAACACTTTCCTTTTCTTTCCAATGAAGAAAAAGACCTGCAATTTCATGTGATTGTTGCTGCTAAATAGTTGCATTTTTAATGCAACATTAAAAATGCTATATTCTCCTCTAGCATGTTAATTAGTAATCCGTAATTAGTATCTTGTTAATTAGTATCAGTAATCCACTACATCATTTTATGTTGTAAGAAATTTGCTTTATTAGTCTAGTGCTATAGTAATCATATTATCTATTATTGGCTGCCTTCTTATATGAAAGGTCGCTATTGCATTGGTAGCTGGAAATATGAACAGTAGTGCTCATTCTGTTAACTGTAAGTGAATGGGGAATTAAATCTGTTAATATTTATGACAAATTCTTATTGAATCCATACAGGCAAAGTTCAGTCCTTAGATTTATGCATGAAGTAATTGCAAAACCAAAATATCTGTACTTTCTTTAAATCTTCAAAGATGAAATAAAACATTTAAAATAAAACTAGTTTATTTTATTCAATAACATTATTTTCAACATTTCTCCTTCTGATTTAAATATTAATATTTTATAAAATACTGATGTTTGTTGGTATTTACTTTTTGCAACCTCCTGAGATCTCCTTTAAACAACCTTGGAATTAAAAAATGTAGTGTTATTACAAGCTTAAGAAAAGATAATAATAAATAATAAATTCCGAATGTATCAGTGAAAAGAAAAGGTGATGATCAAACTTGAATATACATAAGTTTCAAACTTGGTTGAAAAAGTATGTTCCATAGTTCTTAAAAGATAGCATCTTATGTAATACAAAATGACAAACCATTTTAGATATTGTCCTTCTATTAGTTTGGTTTGGAAGCCATCATTGGAAATCTCTGCAGGATTTAATGCACTTCAGTGCCTACTGCCTTACTTCCTTGGCAGATGTCGATAATCTCATTTGAAGAATGTAAATAAGAAAAGAAACCATTGATTTCAAGCAAACAAACAAACAAAATAGGTAGTGGGAATTACAACACATCCAATACTTTCCCAGGAAGTGAATGAATTAGAATTGGCATGTTATTTCTATATAAAATGAATACAAACAATTCATAAAATCAAACAGAAAAATCTAGTATTCTTTCTATAGATTCCATAGTGATTATAATGGTTATTGTGAAGCAAGTAATACAGACTGGGTTTTTTGTTGTTATTCACAATTATTTACTACGTGTAGACAATTAGACCATCTTTAATTTCACTCAGTGTGCTGCTTTAAAAAGGTGATGGGAAAAGGGCAAAGTGTAGCAGTGTGATTAAAAACATGAAGAAAGGATCTTGAAACATTTGTGGGGACCTCCCAAGAACAAGTGATTTCACACTTACCTCAGTAGGCACCTATGTGCGTGTGCGTGCAGGCGCGTGCACACACACACACACACACACACACACAGAGACAATGGTGAATTGCTGCAAGTATGACTCTGGGTATTGGCCTAGCCAGACCAAAAATAGATACTGCTTTAGATTAAAAAGAGTTTTATCCAAGCATTCCCCTCCAAAATGTTTAAAATGCACACACACATTCAAACTATACTAATGAAGCAGGGGGAAAAACCCCACCCCTATCTATACAGCAGTCTCTTCATTTCTCTTTTTTAAAAAAAATGTAAATATACAAATCTTGATGACATATAAAACAAAATCAACATGTGGATGGTAAAACAGGAAGACTGATGCTACAAAGAAATTTCCAAAACCATATGTACAAGACCCTGTTTTTCCTCATATTTCATAGATTGTAATGCATGTTTAACAGCAGCAGTCGAGGATGTAGTTCCAGGCACCAGACTGCAGACCTTGCTTCTGATCAAAGGAGCTGATGTCACCCTTGCACTGATGTCACCAAATGACACTGGAGATACTAGTTTCCCGTGGTAAGAGGGGCAGGATTGCACTGTTTGTATGAGCCTCATCAGGATTCTGCTCTCGGTTAGTTTTTGTCTGTGGTCTCTGTCCATTAATAAGTGTCATTGGGATATTGCAATAAGTATGCTGGTTACCTATTGAGGTAAGAGGCAGGGTGCCAGTAGGAGGTACATCATATTCATAGCTTCGATAATAGTGTTTCTGACGCATCTGTGAATGATATGTGTTATGAAAAGTGGAACGCAAATCAGGGTGGGCAGTGGCAAGAGCAGTGGAGGTAGCAGCAGCCATTGAAATTGCTGAGACCGTTTGCAATTCCCCAAAGGGCCCCTGCTCACTAACATCTAAAACTTGCTCATGGGTAATAGGTTCTATCCTCTTAAAAGGCATTTCATACTGTAAACGTTTCCAGAATTTGGAATTCAACTTGTTGCATTTTGGTCCATGCCATTTAATAACAGTTAGAAGCTTGATGGTATGTTTCAGTGCCTCAACTTCCTGGTAGTTCATAATTCCTCGCAGTTCACTGCATTCAATGAGGATCACTTTAATTTCTCCTGTAATAAGCATGTTCCTAAGTCTGGTTTCCAATTCAAAGATGCTCCAGCCTCTTCTGACCACATAATTTGGAGTCATGACAATTATCAGTCGCTTGCTTTGGTCTACACATCTTGCCACATCTTCTATGTAGGCTGATAAGCAAAAGAACAACTCAAGATCAGAAAAAACCCTATACCTGGACTGTGATCTGTAAGCAGATCTTTCCCCCCCGAAGTTTTATTGGATTTTTATTTTTAAGTATACATCAGTATTTGTAAGAAGATCTTAAATAAGTACTATTAATTTGCATCTTAAAAACCATTCAATGCAAATTTGGAAAGAAATATTTACATGTAAATCTCTGTTAAGAGGTATTGTTCCTAGGTGAGAACCCATTCAGAATAGGAAGAAAAAAGGAAGAGAAATAGCTTCCTCCAGAGCTGTTTATAAAACCCTTACCCTAACCCTTTCCAGGAAGCAAATAGAGAGTAACCTTCTCTGAAGGAAGAATATAAGGAAATATTTTACTTCCTGGAAGGGGGAAATGAATATTTCAGGTAAATTTAATTTGGAAAAAAAAAAAGAGCACAACGAAAGAGCCAGTGTTTCCACAATACATATTTGTTTTTATAGAATATATCCTATACCCATGATGGCAAACCTATGGCACGTGTGCCAGAAGTGGCACTCAGAGCCATTTCTGCTGGCACATGAGCTTTTGCCCAGAACAGATCCACTGCACATATGTGCATGTCCCCTGCCAGCCAGCTGATTGTTGGGTATTTTCCGCACATGCACATGGGGAGACGTGTGTAAGGGAGATGTGCATGCATGCGCAGGTGGGCAGGGTGCACATGGGGGTCATGCATGCATGCGCAGGTGGGTGGGTGGGGTCATGTATTCATTGCATTATGGATGCAGGTACTTTCGGCATGCGACAACGAAAAGGTTAGCCATCACTGTCTTAATACAGATTTTTTTATTGCATGCAGATGGACCTATTTGTCCACTTTTGGAATACAACTCAGCCTAATGCAATCTAATTTCATAATTTCATCATTCCACTAATATGGCACGTTATGTCTGTGCAAACTGCAAGGGCAAAAAGGACATCTTTATTTAACTGGAACTGTTGAAGCTTGCCTGATGGATACTTTCAGTGGGTGGTGTCTATGAGAAAATCAATTTTATCGAGTTTGGTCTAAGTTGTCAATGGAAAAAGATGATTATAAACAGATTGTCTAATAGCTTTATATTTAAGAGTAAAACAACTGATGAAAATTTGTGATGCTACAGTATATTGCTATTAATCCAAAGACATTTTCTCTTGTATGTTTCTTGATAATCTCCATCATTTCAGGCTTCAAAGAAGTATATTTTCATTTAATAAAAAATACAAATTAGGTTAAAGGACTCAGACCTATTTTTGCACTGACCTTAAAGCTAGCTTTTCATCTCTGGGGATGTTTGTGGTAGTGGTAAGATAGGATATTTAAATGCCATCTCGTACTATCTATCTATCTATCTATCTATCTATCTATCTATCTATCTATCTA